AGTGCTCAGATTTCAGATTTCAGGGAGTATGCATGTAAAACAGTGCTTCAAAGACAGGGAGCACAAGTTGGGAGAATGGGAAGTGAAAAATGGGCAAAGCCACAACTTCTTGGAGATTTCCAATCCCCCCTCTCAGTGAGCTAACAGAACAGACAGTTAACAGGGATGTAGAGACCTGACCAACACTGTAGGCATCAAGAAACTCTTGTGATCATGGCTTAGGCAAAGATCACGTAGATGTGGTACCAAAGGCACAAACATGATAATCAACTGTTAATGATCTCCAGCTCATTAAAATTAAAATATTTGCTTTTCCAAAGACACTTGCTGGGAGAAAATTGGGAAACATGGTCTTAGAAAGGAGCTGCACCCAGAATATATAAAGTGGTCTCATAGATCAATAGTAAAGAAACAAATAGCCATTAAATCATGGGCACGGTGCTGGAAAAGACATTTCACCAAAGAATCCACGGAGGTGGAAATTAAACACAAGGGGGTTCTGCAGCAGGGTCATGAGGGTGGAGCACGGAACTCAGGGAAATTCTCCTGCTACCAAGCAGAAGGGCTAAGCCAAGCCAGCAACATAGAACAGGAACACCAAGTGCTGCTGGAGACACAAGACACCTCAGACACATGGGCAGGAGGCAGAGCCAGAACCATGCTGTAAAGGAGTTTGCAGTGCAGCTATATAAACAGCACTCCCATGAGAAATGCACGGGTGTGCCCAGGAAAGCCCTTCTGGGAGGATTATGCCCACTCCTTCCCTGGTCACCAATACCTCTCAGTGTCCTCCTACTGAGAAGACAAACTGCAGTGCATCCATGCTGCGGAATAGGGTTCAGATCAAAGAGGAGCAAAGGATGATGCAAAGTGACCATCAGAGCCACGTCACAAATGCACAGGCAGCCAACTGGAAGGCTGCAGCCTGCACAGGCCCATGTCCAGGGGACAGTGCAAATGACCAAAGTCCAGAGTCAAAGGCCACATCGGCACTGCTTGGGGTTCGGCAGAGGAAGCAGGTGGCCAAGGGGCATAGAGGAGATGTTGATACTTTCCATGTGTGATGTTTCCCCGACCTCGTGCCTCTGTCACCACTTAGAACCATACACTTGCAAAGGGTGAATTTCACTGCATGAAATCGGGCCATCAGAAGCCCAACTTTGGAACAAGGCAAGTTTCTATAAAAAATTCCATCCACCTGACATTGCATTTACTCCATTAATTCAGTAATATTCTTCGTCACACCAATTCACACATAGGAGAGTCCCTTTTATTAGCCTTGCTCTTCATGACAATAGGCATATGAGGTTTCCAAGATGCCTGGGGGTTTGCTTCCCCCTCTGCACGTGGAAGAGCTCCCCACCTCAGATCCCAGGGTGCCCAGCAGCCCCTCTCTTGTGAGAAGCACTGAGAGGGGTGAAAGAAGGGAGAAAGGGAAGAGGAAAAGCTCCAACGCCATGGGCTGGGTTGCTCCGGCTGGGAGGTAGCCCACCAGCCCAGGGAGAAGAGCCGAATAGGCACCCTCTCTAGAGGGTTGCAGCTGCTCACCCTGGGCACAAAAGTCAGCAGTGTGGAGTGCACAGCTCTGGGCTAAGGGAGGCGATGCCCCGCCTTGTATTGCAGTTAGGACTCTGATTATTTTTGCCAGATAAAAAGGTCACTTGTCTGAACATCCCCGTGGACCTAGGATAGTGTCTGATAAAATTCTACTTGTCTCCCAGCAAACTGGGAATGGAGTCTTAAAAAAAAAAAACAACAACAACAACAACAACAACAACAAAAACATCAACACATGAGAGCAGTGAGCAGTGAGTGTGACGGAACAGAGCATGATGTTTTGACACACACACGTGTGGAGGTTCAGTGTCCTCCTGCTGCAAACACTGAGAGCTGAGCATTTTCGTTTTGTTTCGCTTTGCTTTTTGGAAGCACCATGGGCACAAAACAGTCCCTGCCTGCAGGTGGTGCAGTTCGCAAACACCAGCTGGAAGGTTGGGGTGAAGGCGAAATCCACAGGCCAGAGCTCAACAGCTTACCTGAGAGGCTTTCAAGAAGCACAAATGTCCCTTAGAAGAGGGAACCAGGCAGGTGCTTCCACTTGAGGGTCAGGAGGGGATGGACCAGGAGAAGGTGCATGGGCATGTGTGTACATGTGTGTGCATTTGTGTGCATGTGTGTACATGCGTGTGCATTCATGTGCATGTGTGGCTATGTGTAGGAGTGTGATGGTTTATGCAGGGCACAGTGGCTAGCATGGTGGTGCAGGGCAGAGAGGTCAGGGCACAGCCGGCCTGAAGGACCTCTCCTCCCTAAAACCTGCACCTCTTCTTCTTCCTCCTCCTCCTCCGCAGCCCAGCCCCCCAACCCTCATTAGAAGCCACATCTCTGAAGCAATGAAAGCCAAAGGTTTGGTTGACTGCTTGAATTTAATTCACTGGATGGCCAAGCCTGGCCCGGAGTGAGGGGCGGCTGTACTGAGCCTTCACCCTCCTCTTCCCTGTGAACACACCTGCGTTTCAGACAAAACCACCAACATGCACAATGGACAGTGTAGTGGACAGGACATGGGTGTGAACAGTGTGAGTGTGTGACCAGACAAAATATGACCTTCCTGACCTGCCTTCCAAAGATCTCAGTCATTCCAGACGTGCAAACCATTTCAAGCAGAGCATAGACTGTGGTCTTGTATGTCATGGTCCCACCAGTGATGACCTCACTCTCAGTGCATCCAGGCTCCATACCCCTGCTTCGTGGCCTCACATGGCCCAGTTCATCAGCCCCTGACACGAGGAGACCTTACTTCTGCTATTTCAATCTTAAATCTTAGTAGAAGATACTCTCTTTTCAATGCTCTTTCCTATTTATGGAACCTCCCAGGAACAATTATGTATTTTCCACACCCTGGCAAATTGCAAAATGTCTAGATCCACAGTCAAAAATGAACATACAGTTGGTATTAAACAGAGGCCAGAGGCATCAATGATTCCAGAAACTGTCATTGATTCTTGCAAGGGAGAAGTCAGAGATGGTCTTACTCATATATTGTTAAGACACTACACGGTTGATCAAGGTTCAGAGCATGTTCCTTTTAGTAGATATCTCAGGGGCTGACGTTTTACCTGTGAAGGAATCAGAGCTGGAAAGGGATAGCTTTTTGCGTGATGAGAAATAAACGGCCAAAAATCATTTTGCAGGTGCGTTACAGACCCTTGGACACTCAGACCAGGGGATCAGCACTCACAGCGATCACAGGAGAAAAGCACACTTCGTCCAGATGGCTCTGAGCCTGGCTGGGTGGCCTTGGACAGGCAGGGGTCCTGTGCCCCATCACCTCCATCTCCCCACCTCCTCCTGCATGATCCAGTGGGTCCCAGACCCACTAAACTGCTGTCCCTGCCCTCGGTGTGGATATCTACTCTAAATCAAATGTGCACGAACACAATCTGAGCTTTCACTAAGGAAAGTCCACAGCTTGCTTTAAAAGGCACATTCGGCCTCCTCACCTGATTGTTACATCCCCTGAGGACGCTAGGACCCCAGCAAGAGCAGTCCCCAAAGCAGTTTCCTAGGCATTAGGTTTGGCATCAGAAGGAGGTATACGGGAAGGGATTTCCAAAAGTCACTTTATATGCACGGAAGAGGAGCCTTGGAAAATCGGATCAAGAGCAAGCAGAAGAGTTCCGTGCAAGCTCCAGGATGTTTGAGTTTGAAACACAACAGGAGTCCTCTGGGGGGGCACACAGCACCTCACCCTTGCCCAGTTGGAGCTGGGAAGCCATTCTCTCAAGGGAAGCAGACTTCCCCACAATCTCAGACGGTGCATAAATGACTTCTGAAAAGCAAGCCCTACTTTTTAACATCAATTGGCAACTTGTCTCTCCCGATGCATTTCCAGCCCAGCCTTGAGCTCTAGGCGGGAAGGAGATCGTGGTTTGCGTCTGGGTGGATCTGAGGTTACTCTGTGAACTCAGAGTTCTGGGCCGTGCCCAGCTGGCTCTGCTCTCTGAAGGCTCGGGACACATGGCGCACCTGTCCTTCAGTGGGACCAAGACTTCAGCCAGCGCGTGGTGGCAGCAGCAAGGTGACACTGCTTTCTCTGCTGCCTGACTGCGCCCCGGGACTTGGGCAGCTGCTGGGGGCCCAACCACGGAATCCTCCGGGAGGGTACCCAGGGCCAGTTGCTCTGGGGGCGGGGTGGCGACCACCCCTCCCTCCCCGCCCCCAGGCGCAGCATCAGTGCAGTCTTGGTGATGACAACAGGATCTTTGGGGGCTCTCTGGGCGCCCTAATTCAGCTCCTGCAATGCAACCCCCAAACCTAAGGCAGAGTCATCCTAGTGGTTTAGACAAGGTGACCAAGGGGAAAACCCTCCGGAAATACAGCTGAGGGAAGCCCTCTCTGGACACAAGACCCAAACTCGCCTCCCTCGCGTGCCCAAAAACACAGCGGCCCTCATTCTGGGCACCTGAGAGAGTCCTGATTTCCGGGCAACCAACCCTGGCACCCCTCCCCCCGACGCGCACAGCGGCGGGAAAGGGGTGCAGGATGGCACAATGCAGCTCCCAGCTTGAAGGTGTGTGTGTGGGGGGCGCCTGGCACTGAGGTCCCCACTGCAACCAGCGCCCAGCCATGCCCCCTCCTCGCCCAAGCAGCCCCCGTCGGGGTGCTCTGGGGTTGCTTATGAGGATCCGAACCTAAGTTCGCCAGAGCCAGGTGCCGGTCCTGCCTTCCCGGAAGGGGCTGACAGCCTCCTGGAGGCGGGCAGAATGGACACTGCCTCGCCACCGTCCCCCTCTCGCCTGGCCTTGCAGTCCTCAGGCACCAGATGCGGGAGCCGACCTCTAACTGAGTGTGGGGTCGTCTCTGTGCCTGGTTTTGGGGTGCCCCTTGCCCCTAGTTTTGGGGACCTATCCTCTGGGTTTAGGGTTGCTTCCGCGCCGGCTGTGGATCCCTCCCGTGCCCGGTTTTGGGGTCCCCTCCACGGCCGCGCCCCCTCTCACCTCTACCCAGCAGCGCGCCCAGCACTAGGCTCAGCGACCCGCACAGCAGCGCCAGCGTCTCGAGGGCCGCGCCCTTGGAGCGCATCCTGCTGCAGTCACGCCATCCGCGGCCGTCCGGGGCTGACCCGCCGGACCGCAGCTCCCGCAGCTACTCCACACAGGGCCCTGGCAGTGACCAGGCTGCTGTGTCTCTGCGTCCGCTCCCCGGTTGGTGCTGCCTGGATGCTCTGCTCCCGCTGCGCCCTGGACAACTCTTTCTCTGGCTCCGCCAAGGCCGCTGGCCCCGCCCACCGACAAACCCCGCCCACCGCTAGACCCCGCCCCGAAGGCCCGGTCTGTTGGCCCCGGCCCCGCCCCCGAGCCTAGAAAAGGGCGGAGTGCTGTTGGGCTGTCCCATGTCCTGAATTACCTGAAAACGTCTACCTTTGCTGGTCATTTTGACTTTGGGAAAAGCCCAAATTCGCATGGTGCTAGGTCTGCCTAGTAAGGAGGATGGAGACTGCGTCCTGATGTTTTCAGTTGGCAGAGTTTTGTGGAAGCATCTTGAATCTGTTTAGGAGCTGGAGGCAACCACAGAAAGAGGCTGACAGAGGGGGAAAGACGCTGATGGAGGGGCTTCCTGAGCTGCGTTGGAAAGTGACGCAGAGGTGCAGTGTGATCAAGGTGAGGGAAGGAGTTGGAGAAAGGCATGTGTCTGCAGCACGGTTGGTTGTAACTTTTCCTCCGGACATTCGCCTCATCTCTCGATCTCACCTTCTACACTCTCCCGGGGGCTGGGAGTTGGTTCAGCCACTGTGGAAAACCTCAGGGAAGACCTTCGAGGACAGAGAGTTGGAAGTACCGTGAGGTCCGCGTCCCAAGATTGAGTAGGCACCCAAAGGGCAGGAAACCGGCGTCTCAAAGGGACGTCTGAGCTCTGTGTTCACTGCAACGTTGATACCACAGCGAAGATGCAGAGTCGACCTTCGTGCTCACCAGTGGGTCGGCAGTGACAATGTGGAATACTGTCCAGCCTTTAAGAAGGACATCCTGCCGTTTGTCACAACGTGGATGAACTCAGAAGAAATCATCCTATGAAAAACTCGTCAGTTGCGGAGAAAAAAATTCTGATGATCTCATGTACAGGTGACACCCAAAAGACACAAACTCACAGAAGCAGAGTAACACAATGCCCAGGGGTCAGGCTGGAAGTGGGGCTGGGGATACACTGGTCGTGGGACACAAGGTTTCAGTTAGGAGGAAAGAGTCCAGGAGGGCCCTTATGCAACATGGTGACCACGGGTGATAAACGTGCAGTGGGTCCTTAAAAACTGCTGAGAGTCGATTTGAAATATTCTAACCTCCAGCACACAAGCATCCTGTGGGTAGTGGTTATGATAATTAGTTTATTCAGTCGTCCTATAATATCCACACATGTGAAAACACCATACCCTGCACTATACACATATTCAACTTTTGTTAACTTAAATACATTTTAAGAACAAGCAGAATGAGAAGTAAAAAATAAACATAGGGCAAAGAGTAATTACAGGGTGCTGTGTAAGCTTCAAACAAAGAGCATAACCAGGTTCCCAACCCTGTCACATCTAATCACCTCGAGTGTCAATAAAATAGACATCATTATAAACAATGTGTATGCACTTAATAGCAGAGGTCAAATTACATCAAGCAAAAATGAGTCAAAATTAAGGGGTGACACCAGTACCAAAAGAATTGTTCTAACGTAAGCATTCCTTCAATAGCAGCGGAAAAATACAATTGTCTATGCATCTATCATGTGACCTATTATCAATTTATCAGCTATCTCTATATCTATCATCTCTCTGCATGTGACCTAATCTGCTATCCATTTATTATCCAGCATTTATCCATGTATAGACCACCACCTACCCTCCATCCATATGTCTGTCATCTGTGTGACTATTATTTATCTCCTGATCAGCAGGTCCAGGTGATCTTGCCATTATCAATGGCCTTGGCCTGACTGGTGCATATAAAACTGCACACTTGTAGCACGCACGTGTTTTCAAGGGTACAAGGCATGTCCTCCACCACAGACCATTCTGTGAACAATAGGTCAAGTGAAAAAAAAAAATTTTAAAGGATTAAGATCATCTGAGAAACTGACCACAAATGGAAAAGATCAGAAGTCAGCAGCAGTAACATGCCTAGAGAAACCCAAATACTGGGAAGTTAATCAGCGTCCCTCGAACTCATGAGTGAAGAGAATCGTAGGGGAGATGGGGAATTATTTCCAGCTGAATGATAATGAAACCATAAGATAAGTAAATAAAACCATGAAACCCCCTGTGGATTGTGGCTAAGGAAAGGGTCAAGAATGAAATTTACAGTTTTAATATTTACAGTAGAATAGTGGAGCCCAAATTGCGTTTGAAAGCTCCACTTTAAACAGATGACAGGTGGCCTGGTGTGGCGGTGCATCCCCACAGTCTCAGCACTTGGAAGGCTGAGGCAGGAGAACTGTTGCCATCCCACACTGTCCCCAGGACTACTCCTTCCTGTGAGGAGAAACAGCCTCTCTTGCCACTTGGGAGAGGGAAAGACCCCAGGCCCTGGCCCCCTCCACAGAACCCAAGGAGGCCTGATGGTTCCCTTCTCTGCCTCACCCATCACCACCTTTGCAAACAAAGCCCATGGCCTAGGGACTCCAAAGCTTCTCAAGGTTGGGCCATAAGTTACACACCACAGAATTTACCCTCATGAAGTTCAGAGTGAGGTGCCTGTCAGTTTATCCTCAAAGACGCATACAACCATTGCTACTGTCCAACTGCAGAACTTCCTTCAGGTCCTCAAAGTGCACCCCATGCCCACCCAGGCCTGGCAGCTGGTCCTTGTTTCCATTTCCAAGATCGGCCCCTTTGGGCCCTCGGGAAGCAGTGCCCGATCTGGATCTGACCTGGGCACAGGGCACTGTGGGACTGAGTGGCTCGCTTAGCACTGTGCTCCAAGGCTCACCCAGGTTGCAGTGATGTGAGTGAGGTGTTCCTCATCACGGTGAGATGTGGCTCTGTCTCTGCTCACCATGGGACTGCTCTTCCCTGAGGTGCCTCACATGCTCACTCTCTGGCCAGAAAGGCCCCATAGCACTGGCCCAGTGCTGGGTTCCAAAGGCCTGTGGGGATCAGGGCTCTCTCTATAACCAAAGGGGACCAGGGGCCCTGCATTCCGGGTGCTTGGTCCACTGGAGCTGTCACAGGATGAGGAATCCTTTCTCCTGCTTTCCCAGGATCCCCAAAGCTGATCACACAAAGGTTGAACAGCAGGGGCAGGAAGTGTGTGGGCTCCACACCAGAGGTGGGTGAACAACACCCTCCAAAACTTCACACTATGGTAGCCATTCAAGGCTGTCTGCCTGTGGACACCCAGGGCCTCGGAACCATCAGTGCATTTAGGGTGGGGAGCCATCATGACACAAGGGCAGGGAGGGGACCCCTGCCAGGTCCCAGACCCCAGACTCCAGCTCGGGAACAGCCCTGTAGCGCATCTCTCCAAAGGCTCTGCCAGTGTCCCACACTCTGAGGATTAAAGGTAGCACCAGGCACCTGAGCTCCCTGGTTTCTGCCTTTCACCATGACCTGCAGGTGGATTACTGATTTGCTCAATTTGTAAGCCACACTGCAATTTGGAGCACATTCAATTTCCCAGGAAAACGAAAACCTGAATCCTTTTCATCGTAAATACATTGGAAGTGATTTTAAAGCGACTTCATTCAGACTGTTAGTCCTGTAAATCAAATATACTCTAGGCTGCAACACGATGGGAAACAGATCTGGATATGAAGTAATAGCCCTTAGGTCCTGCAAATAAATCATAGTATTACACAGCTAAAATATATTAGCAGCAGCAAACACGAACACATGGAGAAGAAACGTCACAGGTGGTCTGGTGAACGGCTTCTCACACCTCGTGAGTTTTACAGGTAAAGCAGGGCCTCCTCTGTAGGGCGAGCAGTGCTGGGACCAATGAACCACAGTGTGCAGTAAACGAAGGTAGAATGAGCTCTTGTTCTGTGCTTGCAGGCAAAGCAAATCAAGCAACAATAATAACAACAAACACCCCATACATCTGACTGATTTCTAAGCTGCTTGCCACCATCCATGTAGTGAAATCAATATTTCAGTAAAAAGCAATAAACACACACAGAGGGGAGAATAATGCACCCAAGCACACTCGAGCATGCAGTAAAAACAAATGTTACCCCGACTATTGGTGCAATAATAAACAGCAAGGAAAGAAATGTTAAAAAGAGCTCTAATCTAAGTGAGCGTCAATTCTACTTCCAAAGTGGCTGTGAATCTCATTTCTCATTGAGCTCCGGGTTGTGGAAATGTATGGCTGGCAGTCGAGGAAACAGAAGTCAGACTCTCTTCCAGACAGCGGATCACCTGAGTGGCCAGATGGCAGAGCCCGTCCACAGGGAGCGCATCTCTCGGGTGGAGGTCCCAGGGCTGCCTCTCATCTTCCTCTCCTCTCTACACTGGAGGCCAGCACGTCCTGGCTTGGAGAATACACCGGAAATCTCCACTGAATGAATGTGAGTGAGCTGAGTGGACGGGTGAGCAGTTAAGAGAGGACACTCTCTAGGGGTCACAGCAGCTTTGGGGGAAAGACAGGGAGGAGACAGCGAGAAAGCTGTGCTGCGGAGTTGGTGGGGAGATTTGCAGTGATTCACAGGATGCCTCGTGAGCGCCTGCATCTCTGCATTTTCTTCCTCCCCTCCCTGTTCTCCTAACCCCTCTGTAGTGTTCCCCCCTTGGGCAGGGACCGCTGCTTCTCCATGAGCAGAATGGGAAGAGCCCATTTCCCTGCTGCGAGGGGCAGGAGAAGAGCCGCTGAATCAGGGCACTTTGGGGGACCCAAAGCGATCAGATGAGGACATCTGCAGTGACCTCACTGAGTAGCCCCACCTCACTCCGAGCTCCTTTCCAGCATCCTGAGGCCACGGCCACAGTCTCTGTGGTCAGTTGAACCCAAAAGGACAAGTGTCCTCAGACTTCAAGGCCCATCTCCCCTGGGAATCAGAGGGAGAAAGGGTTTTCTTCACACCCAGAGAAAGGACTTTCATCATCCAGAGATATCTATTTCTACCTTTTTTTTTTTTTTACAAGATAACTAACTTTTCTTTGCCTTGGCTTCTAACTATAAAATACAGCTACTCACACCTACCTGTGGATGGAATTTTAAAAAGGAAAGGCAGTGAGCCTAGTGGTGAGCAGCACCTGGCTTAGACTGACCTCTTCCTCTGTTTCAC